AACTACTTATCGATTGATGATGTAATGAAAGATTGTATGATAATATATCAACATCCTTTGAAAGTGAAAATATCAAATGGCCTGAACGAGGCAAGTCAATTAAAAATGGCTTGGTACGGAAGGTGAGAGAGAAAGAAAAAGAAAACACGCTAGAACTGTGGAAGAAGAGTGAAGAAGAAGAGTACAACCGTTTCATATACTTGCTAAAAAAAAGAAAACATATTTATTCGACAAAACAAGGTTGCTAAACTATAAGGTGGTGTGGGATTCAGTGGATCAAAGCTGGAGCTGGCGCGGCGTATGCGAATGGCGCGGCGGCGAATTTGGCGACGGGAGCGGCGTATGCGAGCGGAGCGGCGGCGATCTTTGCGACGGGAGCGGCGTATGCGAGCGGAGCGGCGGCGATTTTAGCGACTGGAGCGGCGTATGCGACTGGAGCAGCAGCGATTTTAGCTACCGGAGCGGCGGCGATTTTAGCTACCGGGGCAGCGGCAACGATAGGAGCAGCGGCTGCTTCTTTCCGCACCACGGCGTTGAATCCATTAACTGGGTCGGCAACGTAATCGACTGTGCGCCTGGTGCCGTCAGCCTCGATCAGCGAGTAGCTGCCTTGGACGATGTCTCCGTCGCGGCTCTCCTGCTGGCTCTTCGCGTCGCCGGTCAAACTGTCGTGCACGTCGTAGGCATAGCTGTACTGAGGATGCGGGTCGAAGTCGGCGTCCACGGCCTTGGCTACCACGGCCTTGGCCACGGGGGCAGCCGCCACTGCAACCGGCGCCGAGTACGCCAAGTGCGCTGCTGGAGCGTAGGCCAGAGGTTCCGCCGTGCGGAGGAGCCCGGCGTTTGCTGCTGCTACGAAAGCGGTGAGGACGATCAACTGCGAAACAACAAGTAGTCGTGATTAGATAGAATATTCTGAAATGCGTTATCGTGTCAATTTCAAATGTAAATGTAGATTTAATTTCTTCTTCAAGGTTCTTGGACGATCGACGACCGATCACGCGTACGTGGAGGATTATCGAAATTACGAACGCAGACCTGGCGTTTCACTTTCAATTCGAGCGCAGAATAAGAAGCACCGTTCGAACGGTTATTCTGTTCGTTAGAAGAAGAGAGGAGAAGCCTCTCAGTACTAACTCTTTGCGCTGGATCGAAGTAAATACGTCTTGATGAATCGAGAAGGGCAACACATCGAGCAAATTACAATTACTCCTAAGTTCGTGATACCTTGAAGGCCATTGTAGCTCGTTCGATTGCAGGATCTTCCGATCTGTTTGTCTGTCTGTCTGTGATGCGAATGATACCGCAGACGGGTGGTTTTCGGCTTTTATACCGCCGCGACCAGGACCCACGGGCACGCTGACGTAACTGGGTGACGGTACCTTCGACGGTCACCCGATTTGCGGCCGCCAGAGTGGTACAACATTGAGCAACAGATCGGACTACGCCCAACGCGAACAATTCGATCAGCCGACGATAACCGTTGGACCATTGTGGTACACCTTCTTCGTCGACTAGGACTAGGCCACGTCCTTGCCACGAGTTACTTCATCTCCTTCCTCGAGGCTTCTCTTCGGTCGGGAACGCCCTGACAGTTTCTTGCCCCTATACTTTTTCTCTATTATTCATTAGCCTTATATATTTTTCTTTGTTTGTCGTTTCGTCGTGCTTGAAATTTAATATCCATTTTCTGTCATCGAATTAACGTCTGCGAAATTGCACGAATTGCACTCGTAACGTGTACGTGAAATTATGTTTTTTCTTTTTTTTTTTTTTTTCTTGTAGGTCTTACACTTGATATACATAAGTACATGGAACGAAATTCGATAGATAAATATGTAGATAAATAGGTAGTTTATTGAACTACAAATTGATAATTGGTTTAATTATGAATTTCATGTATGATTACCTGTACGGTACATAAATCGTGTATCTTTCGCTTAACATTTAACATCTCATTGAAGTGATTTTGAACAAGATTGATACATCATCGTGTAGAGGAAAGTGAAAGTGATGGAGGAAAATGTACACGATAAATTACAATACTTCGAGAGAAATTCTAAATGCAGCGTCACAACGAATTATATTTATTGTAACTATTTTGTTTTTTTTCTTCTTCGAAATATGTAATTAAGGAAATGATACTCGAGTCTAGATTTACTTATTTTATTTTATTCTGTTATCCCTCGAACTTCAATTTTCTTGAAGCGATATTACAATATAAATACGCGTTAGAGTTGATTATAATTCTCGTTTATCACAAGACGATAAGAAAAATTCGATGTTTAAATGCCATTGAATTTTTATTATCATCCACTTTGCTGTAATCTCATACTCGTTCGTGAAGAAATGGAATGAAATATAATTATAAAAAATTAAATTAAATTGAATATAAATTGTAAATATAAAATAAGTACAAATCTATTCGAGGAATTTGTTGCGACAGTTTCATTAATTATTGTCTCGGAAATCGAAAGTATTGTTCGTCGTCGAAACCGCGAGAAGAGCACGATAATTAACAAATGAAATAATTATTCACGACTTATTGGATTTACTATAAGCCAGTGGTGTGAGAAAAAAATTGTACATCGCATGACCTTGAGTTCCTCCATAATTGGTGAAATCAACTGGTCTTTTTTCACGGTATGAAAAAAAAAAAAAAAAGAAGAAGAAGAAGAAAAAAGAAGAGAACGAGGTTGCGTATCGGTGACGTAAGAAGTTGATGACGTAAGAAGTTGATCGGATTTTGCACGATTGACGGGTGTGCAGGGAAATTTTTATTATGTCAACTTGTTAGAGGGACATTGTTTTTGCTGTGTCTCCTTTAATAGCTTAAAACTGGTAGCGTGCGGCTTCCTTCTCTTTATGTCTTTCTTTCTTGTTTTTTTCGTCTAGACCCACACTGCAGGCGACACGGTTCAGGATACACTTTTAATCAGAATGTAAATCGACTAAGACTTTATTTGTAAAAATAAGAAAATCAAAACGCTTGTTTCTTTCTGTTTCTTTTTTTCAGATTAGCTAGTTCAGCGACTGAGCAAAATGAAGCAAAAAGAATCTATCCTTGTGAAAAAATCCAACA